TTGAATAAAATTTGTCCAATTATACCACATACACATTAAAAATTAGACATTTTCTAATACTTAAAATCTACCCAAATTCATTCCTCTTCTTCATTGTTCATATCTAATCTATGCTTTAGTGGCTTACCAATGTCCATAGCTACCCTTATATGCATAAAGGGTTTCCATTGTCCATAGGACCATAGGTAACCCAGAACATGGCTTAAAAAAGTTGAAACATGATTTCTTTTTGTCCCTTGATGGAGGGAGTAATATGCATCATATAAATACCATGATGTTTTTTAATTACCTGGTATAGAAAAGATGCAGCAGGAAATGCGAGCACAATGGTGCACCTAACGATTTGTCTTCATTTTTTGCAATTTCTCTGGCTACATGTGGGACTTCTTGGTCGGACTCAAGTGAATTTAGGAAGCTTTTTGCTAACAATGATCTTCTAGTTACTGAGATTGAGTATTTCACCTTGTCTCCAGGCAGCGAAAGAGTAAACTTCTTGTAGTAAACCTAATGATGTTTGACCAATTAGTGACAATTTTCTCGAGAACTGTATCGGAAATAGTGTTAATGATTGAAGCCAATAAGGTAAGACAATAAGAGTGACTTCTTGTGTGCCGTAGTATATAGATAGTGTTGTGAAGCTAATGATTTTCCGAATGACTTGGATTTACTTGGGTTTGAGTGGTTTTTTAGGAGATTCATATTTATCCGGTGAAATCGGCATCATGCGTTGTTAACAAAGAAAACTTTGTATCAGTGTCGGCTTTGGACCCTAGGAAGCTAGGCAACTGCCTAGGGCACCACATAAAGATGGGGCACCATTTCTTTAAAAAACTAGTATTATTAGTAGGAAAAATTGAAAATAATAATCCCAACTATTGCCGATCCGCTGAAAATAATCCCAACTATTGATTATTTTTGTATAATCCCAACTATATAGACTATCCGCCAATAATGGTCCATGACCATATATTACCTCTATAAAAAGTGAATTTTAAATAGAAATTAAGCGTAAAAATTAAAAGTTGAGATTATTTATAGGGATTACTTGTTATATATCATCTCATCCACTTTAGAAACTACAAGAATTTATTCATAGAGACCATTATTGGCGGAAGGTCCCTAAAGTTGGGATTATTCTGTAATAATCAATAGTTGAGATTATTATGAGCGGACCGCCAATAGTTGGGATTATTACTATCAATTTTTCCTTATTAGTATTACTTCGTTTTAGTTATAGTATACAATTATACATATTACGGAGTACTACGTATAAGGGGGTGTTTGGAACCGATTCTGCTTCTGCTTCTTTTTTAAAGTAGAAGCAGAATCAGAATCAGTTTTCAGAAGCTGGTCTCCCCCAGCTTCTACAAAAACTGATTCTAGGAGTAAAATGGGGCACCAGAATCACTTTTGCACTTTTACCCAAACACTCCAACTTCTGCTTCTGCTCTTTGAAGGAGCAGAAGCAGTTTAAGAATCAGATCCAAACACCCCCTAAGTCAGTTAAAATGAAAAAGTAGTATTAGAAAATTTGGAAGACAAAACGTTCATTAGTATAAAAAGGGCTCACTAACTCATCACCCAACTCCCAAACCCTATTTACCATGTGAGTGCTTAACAAGTTGACATTAATTAAAATCTTTGATTTTGCAATTCTTTAATTTAATTAAACAGCAATTACTCCGTAATAGAGTGCAAGGGCCATCTGGGAAGTCATTCAAAAATAATTTAACATATTAACAACAAAACCAATTAAAGACTTTTGAGTTTCTATACTTCGGAAATCAGAATCGTCGCTAGTCTTTCACCAATCACTGAGACACCTATTCGGTAATTCATCATAACTCCAGTAATTCAGCATGGATAATTTTGATCTTCTTTCTTCCTAATGAAATCGGAATTAAGCTTCACAAGATTCTAGTTAACACCACAACAATTATTAAGGTGAGTTATTTAATTTTTATGATGTTATCGTTGCAATTGATTGTCTATGCCGGATTATGGATTGGATTTTTCTTTGTAAATTTGTGATATGCTTTATACATTAGTAATAATATAAATAATTAGTGCTACATTATTATTTTTCAATTTTTCTATGACGAGAAACAGGAGCAAGACTATGTGGCTTTTAAGAGAAAATTTAAGGAAATAGAAAGAAAAAATGACAAAAGTAAGACTTTCGGGTTTTGACCAAACACTTTTAATTGCGGGTTATATGGATAAGAACGTGATCATAGAATAAGAATTTAGAGACAAATGATAAACATGAGCATATGATGTCGAAAATAAAAATAGAAATCACAGTTCAAGCGATATTAATAAAGATTCAAATGTAGATTATGAGAATTGAATGAGAATGTCAATGGTGAGAATTGAGAAGGATATTGTACGTTTATAATTTTATGTATTTCATACTTCATATAAGAATATACATTTTCAAATATATCGTCATTTGTAAGTTAATTACTACTGCCTTTTACAATTTTTTATGAGCACATTCACTAGTTATCGTGTTAAGTTCTTTCAATTTTTAATTACTTCATACTCTGTATTTTATTTTATTATTGATTTAAAGTATTATCTAAATTTATTTTTTGTCCGGGGCACCAAAATTCCCAAAGTATACATATATTTTGAAATTTATTTAAACCAAAACGATCAGATGCATGCACATCATGACTCATTAGTCATTAGTCAAGCTGTTTCATGTCAGTTATAAAAAAATGATTTCTTTATCACAAGTGTGATTTACTGTGATGGTGTATTATTATGCCATTAACTCAAAAAATTTGGTGATTAGTAATAAGATAGTCAAATGGAGGCATAATATTATTCTTCCGATCCACCAATTAATCTATGCAAACAATTTAAAATTTACGACAATTTCAGCCATCACAAAAATAAGTTCTTGCCATTTCATGATTTTTATAAACAAAAACTCACAAATCCAAAACGGAAATAATTACTCGTGCCGTAAGACAACATGTTACTGTGTCTACTATGTACTGTTTTATTATCGAATACACTGTGTACAATTTCCCGGTACAATTATTACTAATAAGAGTAGTAAATTAATTAATATGGAGTATTTAAAATCGCTTCAAAAAGAATATGGACATTGCTTTAAGGGATTAGGAATCAAATATACTATTACATACGGAGTATTTGTTTGTAAAGTCAACACATTTTAGTCAACTAATAATAAAAGTCAATTCTCCATATTGATAATTAATTCAATTTTTAATAATTAAAATTTATATATTCATAAACTACATTAAAATAACTTCAAAGTTGTAAACTCGAAATTAGAATATAATTAAATATTGGCATCCCAAGAAAGCGAATAAAATGAATGTTTCACCAAAAAAGTCAAATTTGCAAATCAATTTGGGAGGAGAGAGTAACAATTACTCCATCCACCTCATTTTAACTGTCTTATTTTCCTTTTTGGTTTGTCCCATAATAAGTGTCAAATTTCTCTTTTTGTAAATAATATGTGATCCATAACATCTTACTTTATTATACTGAAATTTAAACCATAACTTTTATCTTTTCAATCATTTTATTAATAATTGTGTCAAAGTCTAATGAGAGTATGAGACACATGAAATGTGATGGAGTTAGTATTATTAATACAATTTTTATTATTTATCTAAAAAAACAATTTTTTATTATTTTTATTTTTACGCCCAGAATCTGTCTACTAAGTTAATTAAATACAGTACGAGAATTAAACGGGGTTTAATACGTACATATTTTATTCGGTAACATTAATAAAAAACAATCAAAAATTTGTTGAGAAAAACGTTGACTTTTAAAAAACGTGTAAATACGTATTCATGTATAATACGGTATCTGTTACAAAAATTCAGACAAAAAATGCAGAGTATTATTTTGAACATTTAAATTATATACTTCACAAAATAACATATATAGTAAAAATAAATAAAAGTATACACATATTCAAGTAGCAGATCTCATTAAAAAATAAAAGAAGTTTTCACTATTGTATAACTCGATGACAAAAATAAAAATATGGACTAGTAATAAATTAAGTCCAAGACATAATTTTGCAAACTAATGTCAACAAACAAGGCATAATAACAATAAAATGAGACTAAGTTAAAATCGCTATTTTTACATAATCATCAAATAAACTCAATTTAAAATTTAAAATTTATCATTTTTATCAAGATGACGAATGACATATGAGAAAAGTTGTGCGACTGCTACGCTCGCTTATTATTGTTTATGTGTAATAGTTTATACAAAAGAAATGTCACATTTAGAAAAAAAAATTGACATGCCATTTTAGAAAAACATAGGAAATTTAGTAGTATTTTAAGTTTTTGACTCTTAGGATTCTAGCTTTAGCCCCATGCAATTAATTTTAGTATTTAATAATTGTATTTTAACAATAAAAGAATATGGGGTCAAAGAGAGGAGTCTTTCTTGTTGACCTTTCATTCATTTAATGCGTTCATTCAATTGATCAATTCATGTTTTATTTTTTTTTGTAAAATACGGAATGCTTAGCTGCTATGCAATTAATTTTAGTGTTTAATAATTATATGTAACAATACAAAAAGACGGAGTCACGAAGAGGGGCTTTTCTGTTTTGCGTTTAAATTATTGTTGATCTCCTGTGCATTTAACGCATTCATTCAATTGATCAATTTATGTTTTTTTTTAGTAAAATACAAGAAAAATATGTTTTGTACGAGAAGTAATAATTTTTTTTCCTTTTTAAACAAACCAACATTATTTTTCATTTTAAACGTGTTTTTTTGTTTAGAAAACGTTACATGTTTAAAATGCCAGAAAAAAGCTAACTTTGTGTGTCTACGGAGAAGATAATTGAACATCATAAATGTGCGTACACATGAGCCTGGCGCAGAGCAAAAATCGAAACAAAAGAATCTGAGCGGATTATTATTGTAATCATTATAATAATCTGAATAGTATTAAATAATTATTACCACAGTATTACAATAATCACTCGGTAATTATAATAATGTGATAATTGAATAAAGTAACGGCAATGGTACTATCTGCTGCTCTTCACTGCTTCAGAGTATTTCAGTACCTTCGCCAACACACCGTGTGATAGAGAGAAAGAGAATGGCAGTTTGTGTTCTGTAGAGGGAGAAATTTCTTCAGAGAAACCAACTAAGCGCCATTAATGTCTCTCAGAAACAAAGCGTGAGCTAGTACTACTTCACAGCACAGCACATTCATTCAATTCATTCACCTCTTCTTCCAATTCAAGCTGCTCTAACCACTCCAATTCCGGCTCTCACTCTGAGAAATTTGAGATTCTATCTGTATTTGTGTCTGTTTTGTTCTGTGTTTTCATTATCTGTCTGAAATTGAACGTACGCGGCTGATAATCTGATATACAGATAGATGGAGGGGGAACTGAGTAAGATGACGATGGACATATTCTCCAAACTCGAGCAGAAATGGCTGTACCACTGCGAAGGAAAGAAGACGCGCATCCTGAGCATCGACGGCGGCGGAACAACCGGCATTGTGGCCGGCGCTGCTCTGGTCCACCTCGAAGATCAGATCCGAGCGAAAACCGGCGATCCTGATGCTCCAATTGCTGACTTCTTCGATGTAATCGCTGGTTCTGGAATAGGTGCTATTTTCGCCGCAATGTTGACTGCTGACGGAGGAGGAGGCCGTCCGCTGTACACGGCCAGTGAGGCAGTCGCGTTCGTGAGAGAGAAGCAGCCGGAGCTTTTCAGGAGAAAGCAGGTCGGCGTTTTTGGCAGGCCGCGGAGATTTTCTGGCAAGAGTATGGACAAGACGTTGAAAGCGGCTTTGACAAGGAGAGAGGACGGGAGGATTTTGACGTTGAAGGACACGTGCAAGCCGCTACTGGTTCCTTGCTTTGACCTCAACAGCTCAGCGCCGTTCGTGTTCTCACGCGCCGACGCCTCCGAGTCTGCGAGCTTCGACTTCGAGCTCTGGAAAGTGTGCCGCGCCACATCAGCCGATCCGTCCATGTTCAAGCCATTTCCGCTCCAGTCGATCGACGGGAGGACCTTTTGCGTGGCGTTAGGCGGCGGACTCGTCATGAACAACCCAACCGCCACCGCAGTTAACCACGTCTTGCACAACAAGCGCGATTTCCCGTCCGTTACCGGCGTGGACGACCTTTTAGTTCTCTCCCTAGGCAATGGATCGTTTTCCGCCGCCCCAAGCGGAAAACTGCGTAACGTCTATTGCTCTACATCCGCCGTGGTCGGCATTGTCCACGACGGCGTTTCGGAAACCGTCGATCAAATGCTCTGTAACGCCTTCGCTTTGAATCCGAACGGTTACGTGAGAATCCAGGTAACAATTCAACTCTTTGAATACAAAATTTAATTCAATCAATTCTCTTACGAATAACGATATTCATATCATTTTGTTTTGGGTTTGATGTCTTGATGATTAATTAAACAAGGCAAACGGCGTGGGAGAGAGAGTGGAGGAAGTGTTGAAAGAGAGAGGAGTGGAGTCGTTACCGTTTGGGAGCAAGCGGTTATTGACGGAAACAAACGGGCAGCGAATGGGAGGCTTCGTGCAACGGCTGATTGCTTCGGGAAGGAGCAGCCTGCCACCGAGTCCGTGCAAGGAAGCCGCTGTTAGTCCTATTAGTGACGGACGTTAGTGTATACCATCTCATTCCTTGCTTTGTTACTGTGTCCGTTTTGAAAGAAGCAATTTATAAACAAAATTTGTATACATTTCACACATATTGCACTTAATTGTTTGTACACATCGTCAATGTGTACACTTTCTAGTTGTTTGTGTACACAGATAGAGCGTGCAGTGTTGTCTGTGTGCACGAACGTTGACGTACAAATGTGTGAGAAATGTATACAAATTTTGTGTACAAAAAATTGTTGGTCCTTTTTTTGTCCATGAATAAACGCAGGAGAGAGTAGACCAGTTTTGAGCCCCATAATACATCAGCACTTCGCATGACCACATAAAATATTTGAAGCACCCAATGGAAACAGGTCTTCTCTGTGTCTGACTCTAATACATATGGGTCATTTATTTTGCGGGGACTACAGATATACTCAACTTTTTGTTAAGTATTGTCAATGATCTATTAATGATAAGTGTATCCTTATTCAAACTAGCGACAAAGATATTGTTTAGAGCTTTTAAATGACAATTATTCGGTAGTTTTTAGGGACATGATGTCCCGAACATCAATGTTTTTTTAGAGAGAAACATGAATGTTCTATCTTCTATTAGGATGCTTTTTGGTGTAGTTTTGTTCGATATAACAAGTTTTAATGACTAAATAATACGGAGCACAAAGTTAATGCTATAAAAGCAACACATCGAAACTTGCCATCCTGTTATGATACCAAAGAGAACAATCGTTTTTTAAAATCAAAATAGGGAATTGAAGAATTGACATGTTATGTTGGATATGCACTCAAGTTTTCAATGGAAATACGGAACGTCGAATTGAAGAAAAATTTAAAGTTAAAATATCATTTCGAAAGGCAAGTTAAAATCAAAATATATGTGAATTTCTTGATTTGACGTATTGATTTCATCAACAAACCTTAAAATCCACATGTTTAGTTTTAACTTTTCAAAACGATTAGATGTTTTAAAATGAAATCATATTTTAAGAAATACTCCAAATAAAATTAGATAAAATCAAATCATACATACATAAAAGTAGAATCCTACATAGATAAAGGGAAAATTCTCTCCCAATATTTTTTCTCTCACATTATTATTCATGTATGGTTTTTTCCTTTCATTTCTCTCTTTTGTGTAATTTTTTTCAAGGAATTATTTTTTACAATGATTTCTGTTAAAGCTTACTCTAAGTTTTGGTACATAGACTTTGAGAATCACCTTTGTTGACTATGTTCGTATCCAGATATTAGAATTTGCTGTTTTGTGTTACTTGGCCTTTGACTGTGTTTCATTAATTGAGGCACGCTGTTATGTTTAGTAAGAATTGTTTCAACATTAATATTTATGAAAGTTCGATTTTGGTGTGAGCTCGTTTGGCATTTGTGCTTCTTTAAAATTCCATTTCTCGGTAGCCATGTAACTTCGACAGTTGCAGCTTTCTTCTACATATGCTAGCATGTATTTAGGGGGTGTTATTTAGGGGTGTTTGGAACTGATTCTGCTTCTGCTTCTTTTTTAAGGGCAGAAGCAGAATCAGAATCAGTTTTCAGAAGTTGGTACCTCCCAGCTTCTAAAATACTGATTCTAAGAGTAAATTAGAGCTCCAGAAGTGCTTCTGGAATTTCACCCAAACACTCCAGCTTCTGCTTCTGCTCCCTGAAGCAGCAGAATCAGTTTTGAGAATCAGGTCCAAACACCCCCTTAATTATATCTTGACGGCCTCTGCTTTGGGATTGGTGTATTTAATCGCCTAATGAATTTGAAGGTCCCGCTTTAATATGAAAAACAAAAAAATATTCTTGATCTAAATTCTTATTATACTTAAATCAATTGAATACTCATTAAATAATACAATTAAATAAGTACATGTAGTAATTTTCCCTCATTCAAAAAACTAAACTCTACATTTTTTGTAAAGTGTTTCAATTTATGAAAGCATAATAATATGTAGTTGAATATAAATTTAGTTGTAACACATACTACCTCCGTTCTTTAATTCATGCAACGTTGTGATTTTTGCACTAATCACATACCTTACTTTGACCACGATTTTCTACTAATATACATAATCGAATTATTTCGTATAAAATGTTATTGAATTCCTATCAATATGAATTTCCAAAATATCAACTTCTTATATTGTTTACAAATACATAATTGAATAAAATTACAATCAAAGTTGTGCATTGGAAAACGTGAAAGTCAAACTGTTGCAAGAATTAAAGAACGGAGGATAGTATTAGTAATGTTATATTAGTATTTAGTTAATTTATGTTAGTGACCTAAAAGTAATACTACTGGCGCCTTATACATATGGGGCCCGTGGGAAATGGGGTATTTTCTATTTAATCTAATTAACATGCTAAAAACGACTCTGAACTCGTGTTTTGAGTCTTTGTCTATTCTCGTGAGAGTTATGGCTCACTAACTAGTTTAATGTAGGGGTGAGTTCGGTTCTTTCGGTTCGGTTTTGACCTAAAACCAAATACGAAACCAAAGTAAAAGTTCGGTTCGGTTACGGTTCGGTTTTACACTCCAAACTTGGAACCACAGTTTGATTGGGGATCAAACATATTACATAAAAATGCCAGCATACTTGAGCAAATAAAGGAAATAATAATAAACCCATGTATTGAATTATATGAGTATGCGAGAGAGATAAAAGTGTGTATCTATTCTTAATTTACATTGTTTGTGACTAGTTTGAAAAAAGTTTATGAATACATACGTCTTATGTGATATAACTGAGATGAATATTAATTTGTTTTATCAACATAAAAAATTTAACTTATAAAAAAAATTAAGTTACATAAAAATAAAAGTTAATTACTACTAATAACCAGTAAAAACATATAATTAATAATGCAACAAATTGCAACATACATACATACATAAAAGACATAATAGATCAATATAGCTACATTATTATGGGCAATAAATGTGTAAATGCATAAAAGCAATATGTAGCCTTATGGGTGGGTCATTGATCGAGTTGTATGTGTACTACTCCATATGTAGCTTCTTTTGATTATACTTTCATAAAATTTTGTGAGCATATTTTTCATAAAGTATAATTATGTACATTAAATTTAAGCTTAAAACTCAATCACAAATTTAGTTAAATAATTTATTGAATAACATTGTGTTTGTTGTATATACTACGTATATGCTAGTAAAATAGGGTTTGTACGTATTCCTTAGTTGTGAAATGTGAAACAATGCATTCAAAACATGCAACATCCAAATCTTGTTCTCAAAAGAGTTTGGATCAGCTAACAGCCTAACATGTAGAAATAAATGATTAAAAAGTTGATTTCATAACAAACAAACAAGCATGATCATAAGTCATAACACAAGTAAAATATAAATAAATAAATAAATAAATAAATAAATAAATAAATAAATAAATAAATACATAAATAAGTAAATAAATAAATAAATAATAAAAGCTAAAGAGTAGCAATATAGCATGTCATGTCTCTCCTTAATTTTTTTTTTTAAAACTATATTTTTTTTTTTGATTTTTTTTTACTCCAGGGGGGTCTGGGGGAGGGGGGCTGGGGGGGAGCCTGGAGTAATCAGGGCTGAAATCCACTCCATTGAGTTTCACACCCTTGTGTGCCTAGCGGGATTCGAACTCGAGACCTCCCACTACGCACGGTAACCTCACAACCAGCTGGGCTGGAATGCTTGGTTTGTCTCTCCTTAAATAAATATTCCTAATATCGATCTTCGTCTGTTACTCATTCAATCATTTTTTAGCTTTGTTTTTTGTTGTGCTCACAAAATTATTATAGTATTTGCTCATTTTGTTAAGTATCAACATTTTTTAATTGAGATGAGTTCCAACCCTATAACCTCTTGCTTGGAAGTATCACAATAATGTCCCTGTTGAGGTTTATTCCCGAAGATCCGAAAGCCCAACACAAGCTTTGGATATTGTAGGGATATTGGGTTGGGTTGAAAAGTGTATAAAATATAAAACAGTGAGATATTATCCAACTCAGGAGCTTACTAGTATTCAGTAATTATGCTATTACACTGGAACTACCCGAACGGTAGATGAGTATGAGAATACAAGGATAAGAGATGTAAATCTATTGCTAAGCTCTGAGTATATAAATGCTAACCCTTTACAATGATCTAAACATGGGTATTTATACTAAAATGGGGATGGGTAAGGTGGACACGTGGCCGAATCTGGTAGGCTGACACCTCTGCCATGTAAGCACTCATGCCCCCCACTTGCAGCCGCCATGATTCAGCATTAAATGCGGCTTCCACTTGCTGACTGCCCGTTCGGGCAAGGCGTTCGGTGTGTGGGTGTAACACCGTCCCCAAATATATTTACTTTTATGTAAATAATGTATTGAACCTTATTAAAGGATTAATGAATTTACGGAGTTGTAAAATTTTATTTTTTCTTTCACGTGAATAGTAAATTGCACGTGGGACCCACATCGGGAGCGGGGACCACCCAACATCCCCGAGACCACATATTTTATTCATCTTGGGCAAGATAATATTTATATGGTGGTGGATATTTTACTTGGGTCGTGGAAAGGCCCTGTGTTGGCCGATTGGGCAAAAGAGGCCCAAATACCGGTACCGACAATTTAACAGACTTGAGCCCGAAAATGAATTTCGGAGACTTCTAAATTAATGTTTGGAATATATATTATTTCAAAGTGCCGTTACGAATGGGAACACATAATATATTTTATTTTACCCTATAAAATAAAATATGATTAAAACAGTCCGAAAAATACAACTTTCGGGACCAATTGTACACACCGGGACACAAAGGGATGACCTCCCACATGAGTGGGGGCCACCCCACGTTTTTGTGTGCTCAAATTGACCAAAGGAAGGCCAATAGTACACATGATGGGAGGGTGAGACATTGAGAGACACCAAAGGGGTCCCTCTCTCACTTATTAGCTAAATGAGACAAAAGGAACCCATCCCCCTCCTTCCTCCTCATTGTACTCGACCAAGCTACCCAAGAAAGAGAAAGAAAAAGCTCTCCAACCCTCCTCCATTGCTGCAACTCGAGCTCAACCAAGAAGGGTCCAAGGAGTGGGATTAAAGAAGGAAAAAGGCTAGGAAAAGTGTGTAAAATTAAGGTAATGACCTTATTATAACTTTTCCTTTATTTTTCTTCTACCATATGAGGTATATATCATATGAGGTACCCTTAGTATTGTTCTACATGATATAAGTGTTGAACAATGGGTTGGAAGATGGTTCTAAGTCCAAAAAACGGACTTAGATGCCAAAACTACCGGTTCACCGGAAAATAACCTTTTTGAGGTTGTTTGTATTAATATGGGTTTTATGATTATAAAACCTTGTTAGGCACTTGTAAAGGGTATTTCAAGTGATTTCACAAAGTTGGAAAAGTCGCCGGAGTTGTCGCCGGAGTTGACCAAAAGTCGCCGGAGTTTCACCGGAGTTCAACCAAGAAGGGTAGAACTTCATAACGCTAGTTCAAGGTGAGTGGACGGCTTAATATCTTATAACTTTTGGATTAATTA